CATACAGGGGTTTTGTAGGTCAAATTGCCTACCTTTAGGCGGCTATCTAGTGGCCCACAGGGGGGGCGATCGCCCCCACCGCCCCTCCCCTTAATACGCGCCTGGCGTGCGGTACAGTCTAACTACAGATGTGCGCGGGGTTAATCAGCCACCTGGTATGTAAATGGGCACCTATTGTCAGTATTTTTAGACATGTTAGAGCTCTCTACAGGTCTTTAGCAAAGATTGGTTCAGAGCGTCCGCCGAACTTCCGCCGGATTTTAAACGTTCAGGGAATATGAAATCCCCAAGTCCTTTGTTGCTCCCTTTAGGAACTTCCAAGGAACTTCGAAAAGAGACATCTGAGGGATTTCAAAAAAGGGACTTTGGAGGGTGGTCGTTTTCTGTTAGGATTTTTTCGCAACTCTTCCTCCGTGAATAATCACGTCAGTCAGTCCTCTCAGCACGAACATGTGCAACTTTGTTCCAGGTTCTGTTTGCCTCTTATCCTCGTTTACTGTAACCACACGTCCGGAGTGTCTCCGTCCAAGCTTGTCGCATGTCACCTACGTGTGACTCAACCCGTGTGACTAACGTGGAAAGGGGTAAAGAAAAGAGGGGGGGGGGGGGTGCTGGTTTCCACTTTACATGCGTGCTTCCAACTCCAGGCCGCTCCTTTATTCGCATTTATCCAACAATCCCCCTCTTCTCCGACCCCAGACCATCCCACCACCACCACCCCTTCCGCTCCCTGAATTCGTTGTTCCCCTCTCCTCTGTTCATATTCCTCGACAATCCCAGATTTTCCTCTCGTTCCCTTCCTCTTTACCCCCCTTTCTTCCTAGTTTTCTCCCCCTCTCCCCCCCCCCTGGCCGCAGAGTTTCTCCCCTTATCATCTCGGTGTGTGCAAATCCCTCTCTTAGCAGTGTGTGTGAGTGTTGAGTAGGAACACAAGGGCTGTACTAGATGGGGGCCGATGGGCACCAGTGAGCAAGAGTTGCGATCCTCAGTCACGTCTAATGTGAAGCGCGTCAGTCGCTACACTTCACAATTTAAATGGCAAACCCTCCACCGTGCAACACCTCAAAGTGTTCAACTCTGTAGTTGTGCACCTGAACGTGTTCAGCACCTCCATTGGAAACTTTCCTCTCCGAATGTCAAGTTGAAGAAAGTGCTTAACAGTGGAGTGGAACTTTAAAGTGCACAAGTACCGAGGTAAATGCCCACACCTATAAGTAACATTTTAATGTTTACAACTAAGGAGTTAAACAATTAAAATTAAGTGTAGACGTCGTCGAACACTTTTTGGAACAGTTCTCAGTGAAGAAACGGCTCTTCTCTGGGTGTTAAAAAGTTTTTGCCCTTTCACAGTAGCATCGAAATTCCTAGAAATTCCAAAAGCACTACACTCAGAAGAGTGTCCGTAGAACCAAATACAAAACCGACGAAATTTTAGCTCTGGAGACCAAAATTTACCCGTGGCGATGCAATTTTAGTCTAGCTGACTTAATTTTATTGGTGCTACCATATTTAGTCAAAAGCGGGGTTACTCTGGAAACTCGGGTGTGAGACAGTCTAACACCAAATGGTGTTAGGCAAAATACCTCACACCAAATGGTGTGAGACTAGTTGTGCCTCACACCAAATGGTGTGAGACTAGTTGTGCCTCACACCAAATGGTGTGAGACTAGTTGTGCCTCACACCAAATGGTGTGAGACCCTCTGTGTCTCACACCATTTTGTATGAGAAAGTATCACTCCATTTG